TTTTTTACAGTGTGTAGAACGTACAACATCGACGAAATTGATCTTTCATTATCAGAATCGAGATTGTAAAGGTAAGTTAACATTTACTATCAGTCAATTAAAACAAAAATTATTGATCTATTAAGCTCGATGTCATACCAATTTATCTATGGACGTATTTCCCTCACAACCAACAGCCCACTGTCATGCTCCTCAACCTGATCGTGTGCCTGCTATTCAATTAAAAAATGAAATTAAAGCTCGTGCCGTAACAACAGATGAATCAACCAGCTCCATTATTCATTCTGCTTTGCGTAAGTATCCGTTGAGTGCTGCTGGTGAACTTCCAAAAAATGAAGCACTTATGCTAATGATTCGACGACTGCGTACTGTTGAAACAGTCGATGGTTGTTTACCAGAAAAATTAAGAAAGACGTATTGCGATGAAGACTTCATCTTGCACGAAGACAAAAATTTAATTATCTCTACACCAAAAACAAATTTATCGATTCTGAAGCAAAATAAACATTGGTTCGCTGATGGAACATTCAAAGTAAGCTATCAATTAAAATTTTATATCTTTTTTTTTCTAATTTTCTTTGACATAGGTGTGTCCTGATGATTATTATCAATTATTCGCGTTACACGCGATGATGACTAATGCAATTATCCCTCTCGTTTATGGATTAGGGTGTGGGTGTGAGTGTGGATGTGGATGTAGGCTTGAGTGTTAGTCTTCCCTTCATTCATACCCACACCCACACCCACACCCTCCTGTAAAATGTTAAAAGTATCATAAATAGACCTGTGACAGTTTACGATCGAGGAACTGAACTGCTATTACTCATCCAGTTCTTTTACAAAGAACTGGAACTGGATAAGTAAGAACAAAATACAAATTATCTCCCAGTCTTTTGCTGAACAACAGTTCTCATTATCTTATTTGAACAGTCATTGAGTAGCAGTTGACTGTGATAAAACGATCGAATGAGTATTGTTTGCTATGAAAAATAGCCAAGAAATCTGGACCCAAAGAGCAAAAATTCGAACTTTCAAATGTAAATTTGTAATTTACATTAATCGAATTGATTTAACCCTAGTACTACCAACCTGGGTCATTTTTGACTCGTATTCAAAAATTTGAAAATATATTGGAAATATTTTGTTATGTTCTGATTTTCGGAAGCAGCTAGCATCTCTTACAAATTCATATATGTTGTTGAATCTAAAACAAAATTTATTTGCTTTCGTATATCAATAAAAGCCTTTGGCACAATACCATGTCTTCAGTATACAACAAACATATAACAAGCAAGAACAACAAGTTAAATTTTCAATCCATCATTCAATGACTAACTCACTATTCTAACTGAATATTTTCAATCCATTAAAAAGCATTTTGTTTTGAATGATTTCGAGCTATTCAGTTAGGATGGTAAACCAATCGTATATCGTTCGATTTGTCAAACTCCGAGGAACAAAAAATACTTCAACTGAATATTATAATTATTCCGAATTTGTTTATAACGAGCATTCTATAAAATGCATTTTTTGTATTACTTGTTCTAAATAAACTAGAATATCATTTTAATAATTTTTTTTAATCAGATCGAACATGAAAACAGTACATTTTATTAGAACACTGATGTAAGAGTACAAAAATCAGTTTATGAAAACATATATTGCTAGTATAGTGCTTAAAAAAAGCTGGTAGTACTGGGATTAAGACCTTTTTAAAAATATTTGTTTCAAATTATTAAATCAAAATTTCATAAGAATAAAGTATGTAATACTAATCATTAGATCAACATGCTATCTTTCGTTGTATTAGTCGTATTAAATCCATAAATGCTTTTTTAATAACACTTCCACCAGCTAATACATAAATATAAAATGGCATTGCACTTGCCATGAAAGCTAGAAGTATATCAATGTTATAAAGAAATGTTTTGATAGCATCTTCTAATTTAGATCCAGAATCAAATGGTTTAAATGTTATGTAAAGTTTTTGGATAACTTGTGGAATACATAATACTATTAGTGAAAATATTTGTAATAAAAGCATACGAAGTAAATGATGATCAGTTTTCTTTGAATTTTGATTTACATGTCTATTATGATCAATAATCCTTAAAGCATTACTTGCACGTGCTACGTGAGTATGAGTACGATGTACATATGAAATAGTTAATAGACCAAATATAATCATTAATATCAATGGAATCATTATAGAGAATATTACATAAATTAGATCCGTCACAAGAAGACATCTGACTGTATATTCATAACATTTCAATGGTGCATTGGTAATATTAGCTTCATAACAGGGAAACATATGAATATAAGAGAGAATCGATAAAATTACAGTGATAAATATTGCTCGTTTAACATTTTTTAAATTACTCATTTGTCGACGATGAATATCAATAGATGATATTAACCATCGATCAATGGTAGCTAATGTAATTAACCATATGGACATTGTTCTTGTACTAAATATAATAAAAGCACGAGTTTTACATATCCAATTAATTGTCGCAGTTGGATCAACGTGCCAACCAGCTAATATTCGAGTAGGTAAACCAACTAGAATGGAAATAAGACCAATAAATGATGAAATAAGAAAAAGTAATGCACATGGATTTGATCGAAGTCTTCGTTGTGATAAAACTAAACAACTCATAATATTTCCTGTTATACCAAAAAGAAATATAATAGATGCTAAATATCGATTCAATTGATCAGAGATATATTCTAATGATTCAATAGATTTATTACTCATTGTAAAAGTTCTTGTTTAAGATCAAAAAATATAAAGTCAAAGTTGATATTAAAAAAAGAAAGATCAATTGAACAGAAATCTAAAATATTTTCATACAAGAAAAAAATTATAATCTAAAGTGATTATATGAATGACTTTCTAAAAATTATATAGTTCTTAATTCAGTTCTAGAAGAAAGTCATCAGCATTTTTCTCAAGTTGAGATGTACAAAAATCATACTGAGAAATAACATGTATAAAAAATAAAACATTTCTATCTAAACGGTGAACATTCAATGATAGTAACTTTCATAATATGAAGATCACATAATTTACGTTTAAAAAAAATGAGAAAAGAATTAGAAATTAAATATCATGACGTAATTCATTATGATTTATAAATTGGTTTTGCGTTTCAAAAAATACAAAGAACTTATTGAAGTAAAAAGATTTATGTCACTTAATGAAGATATTATAATAGTTTCTTATATTTTTAGTCTTGATGCATGTAAATTATATGAGCTATCTATTAATTTTTATTATGTTCATTGGAGGGAAAATTTATGTCGAAAGCAAACTTAATTCACATTAAAGAAAAACTTTTAGTGCACTCATATATTTTAGATGAAGAGACACAACTATTTAAATCCTACATATCGATTAGAATTATATTATGATGTGAAACTTAAATCCTAAAGAAAAAAAAGAAATTAAGAATAGGTTCATAACCTATTTCTAGAACTTCATGCTCTTTATTGAAGATAGATTCTAATCTCTAACTTAAATCAATGTAATAACAAAAGAAGAAAATATTTCAAAGATTTGAATATAATAAGAAATAATTATTTTTTGTTTTACTTGTGAATGAAAACCTATCATGTGTTTATTGGCTTATTGAGTAATGTATGAGAAGGAAGATATTAATAGTTATATATAGAATATAATTAATCAAAAACAAGGCATATAAAAAAAGCTATGTTTATAAGAAAGTATTTTATTCTACAGAGAAAAAAAAACTACATCTTCATCAATTTTTAGAACGAACAGTATACATGTTAACATTGATGTGAAATACATTTCATATCACAATAGTGTTACTAAAAAATAACATTCATGATAAAAAAAAGGAAACAATCCCCCGGATTTTTATGCTCTTCCATTAAAATATAAATTCATTCTTCCATATCAATGCATAAAGATCTTTCGAATTAGACACAAAAATAAGTAAAGCAACAATAGGAAGTTTAAAATAAATTAACAATTGATTTATCTATGTTTGAATCTTTTTTCTAAAGAAATTTTTCATCTTAATTTTAATCAGAATAAAAAATAACATCAAAATGAATTGTAATGTTTAGTTAAACTTTTGATTATGGAGAGATCATCATCAGAACAAAATTGTAATGTAAATGAATGTGATATTGTACCAATGTTAATAATATGACATATACAACTAATAATAAAAATTCAAAGATCACTAACATTGATCATAGCTAAAACACAACCAATATCAATAATAGTAATAGTTCCTTGACCTGTACTACCTTCATAACAAATACAAAATTAAATTCTCTAAATAGAGAAAAGATTAATCATGTTAATAGTTGCTATAAATAATATATACGTATGATAAACATAACATGGATTTTGTTCTAGTAGAATAATAATAAAACTTGCAAGAATAATATCGAATGTGATAAATGAACAATTGATTTATTGTGGAACATGAACAATGTGTAGAATACAATGTTGTGATGTTGAACTAGCGGAAGTCTAGAAATACATATGTTTGAATTTCTGTGTTTAATTGAGAATGATAGGATTGTGTGGATGGATTGGTTTTTTGGGGTCTGAATTTTTTTGTTCATGTCTGGAACATAGTATGTATTATCGGATATTCATGAGCTGTTTAGTTGATATAGGGCTCTATTCTATGAAAATGCTTTGTCTCTTCCAAAAGTTTTTCGAATTTGGAATATGTTTAGACTTATGGAGTAGTTTTTTACTCGATTGTTGTAGAATTTTATTTGTGTTTCTATAGTGTGTATTGCGTATTTTTATTGTCTAGGGTTCGTACTGGATATCCTTTTTTTATCTGGATTTATTGCGTAGTTTGTTTGGTATGAGCTATTGCACATTTGAAAAGTTTATGCATATTGCGTCATGTACTTAATTGTTTTTATTCATTACGCAGTAATATATTGCAGGTATGAATAATAGCTGTGTGTGTGGGTGGGGTGTGGGTGTGGCTGGCTGTGGTTGTGGTGTGGGTGTGGGTGTGAGTGTGGGTGTGGGTGTGGGTGTGGGTGTGGGTGTGGGTGTGGGGTGTGAGTGGGTGTTGGTGTAACTGAAAGAACAACACCCGCACCCACCCACACCCACCCACACCCTTATACCCACATCCACACCCCACACCCACACCCACCCACACACCCACACCCACCCACACACCCACACCCACCCACCCACCCAC